GAGAGAGAGAGAGAGAGAGAGAGAGAGAGAGAGAGAGAGAGAGAAGGAAATGTTCTGGGGAGAAGATATAGTTCCCAAGGATCTACTCCCTTTAACTAGGCCCACCTCCTACAGTTTCTACTACCTTCTAAATCCATATAAATTATGAATGTATCAATAGATTGAAGAGGTTAGATACAGTCACTTGCCCAAAGCAAGTAAATACTGCTCTGCATATTGCTACCTCTGAATATTGCTGCATTGGGGACCAAGCTGTCAACACATGAGCTGTCTTTGGGGGAGAGTCCAGATCTCAACCATAACAGTATCTACCATTCATTCATTCATTTAATAAACACTTATTAAATTGTGCAATACAAGGATAGAAAACAATGTTTATGCATTAAATGTGTTAGCATATTGTCTTGTTATGCTAGAAATTTAATAATAAAATACCACAGACTGGGTGGCTTAAACAAAAAAATTTTATTTACACACATATCTGGAGGATGGAAATCCAAAATCAGTGTGATGTCAGAATTGGTTTCTTTTGAGAACTTTCTCCTGGGCTTGCAGATGACTTCTTTCCCTTGGTGTCCTCATGTGACTTTTATTCCTGGTGTCTCTTCTTATCAGGACAATAGTCCTTTTGTATTAGTGTTCCACCCTTATGAACTCAGTTAACCTTATTTGTGTCCTTAAAGTCTCTATTTCTAAATACAGTCACATTGAGGGTTAGGGCTTCAATATTTGAATTGAGGGGAACACAAGCCAGTCCATAACATGTAAAGTGTCTAGAAATAATCCCTGGCATATACTAAACACTACATAAATGTGAGATGCTATTGTTAAGAGAAAATATGCAAAATTGTACTGGTTATTATCTTTGGGGGATAGAATACAAGTGATTTCATTTCATATTTTTCTATATTTTCCAAATTGAAAAATGTTATTAATCTTTGGTTGGGGTCCATGCATTGAGTGTTTGCCGGTCTCCAACCATTTCATCTTGTCTTCAAAGCCTTTGCTCTAGACAGGGCAGCTATCTTGAGTAGATTCTTTGCTGAATTTCAAGGTTTGGGATCAGTTCTCTAGATTTGTGGTTGTCAAAATAAAGGAGAGCAAAGATCTGGTTTCACCAGCCAGAGCCTCCAATTACTAGTGTATGCAGTTATGAGGACAGGAGATGTGTTGTGCTATGTCCCTAACCCTATAGCCACAACCTCTAGAGGGCTTAGCAGTGAGACAGTGAGGAGGTCAATCTAAGTTCTGGACTGTAAAAAACAAAATCCTATTAAATAACTGTTTAAAGCAGAAAAGGAGCATGCTAAATAAAGAGTGCTAGGTGGTTCACAGCATTTTGGGAAGGCTCAAGAAACAGCCTCAAGCCAGGTGTGATGGCTCATGCCTGTAATCCCCGAAACAAGAGAGGCTGAGGCAAGAGTATTACAAATTCAAAGCCCACCTTAGCAACTTGATGAGGTCCTAAGAAACTTAGTAAGACCCTATCTCAAAATAACAATATAAAAAAGGGCTGGAGATTTGGCTCAGTGGTAAAGTGCCCCTGGGTTCAATAATCCCTGGTACTGAAAGAAAGAAAGAGCCTCAAATTTCATCTTTCAGTAATAATTCCAAGAATCATCTGTCAACCATTGCTTCTGCTACCATCCTTGTGCTAATAAGATGGCTGCCCTTATTTCTATATTGAATATAGAATATAGCACTATATTGCTATATATAGCACTATATTACTAGCTTTGGGATCAAAGACTCATGGAGGCATCTCGCCTCCTTAGGAAGGACCAGCCTAAGAGAGGCTGAAAAAGAGAATTTTCTGAGCTTCATTGGAAAGATATAATTACAATGTGAGACACTAACAGAATATAAGTGTTCAAAAAGGCCTGGGAGATACAAATAACTGAGCCCCCCGACAATGTCAGAGAAGAAAAATATTCCAGATGTCATAGGAGCAGGAAAACCTGAACCCATAATGGCTGAGCTCATCTTAGGCTGTTTCTTAGAGCCACTAACAGACAGAATGCAGTGGACACTGTGCCTTTCAGGCCTAGAGGGTGACCATTCAACTGTGATGATAAAAAAGGCAGCAGAGTCTTGCTTAATGGGTTTTGAAGTCTCTGGATCAACACTTCCTTGTACCAATGAACACAGAAAGGGGCAGAAGCTTACCCAGGGCTGTATGGCATGACAGAAACAGACACAGGTCTAGAAATGGTATACTTTGCCCCACTTTGAAGCCTGGCAAACTCTCACACAAAGATTTATGGTTCAAGTTGAACATTTCCTCCACTAGGAGACCTTGCCCTGGTTAGAATAGGATCAGTCCTCTGTCACCAAGCTCACCATGCTAGACTACTGCTATTGTTGTTTCTGATTTGTCTCCCCTGCCTCCAAGTTCCAGCAGGAGGCCAGACAAAGGGTACCTAGAGTGAATGGATAGGAGGAGGCCAGAACTGCTCTGTGGTCTGAGCAGATGTTCTGCCCTGCCAAAAGGGATAGTGCTTTCTGTACTCACTGGGCCAGACCCTGAGCTAGGGTTGAAAACAATTGCTAGCCCTCAAAGATGCTAGTGTGGGTGGAAATAAGTGTGAACAGAGTTGCCCACCATTGTTGCTGACCAGGAGGAATGTCTAAGAGGCTGCCAGCTCCCTCCACCCTACAGCATGACTCTGGGTTCCTTCTTGCTGGGTTCCATGGCTGTGGCACTCAAGAAGTCTAGAAGCCTCAGAGTCACAGCTGCCCATGGATGGTCCATGAATGGAGCAACCACAAAGAAGGAAGGAGACCTTGGGAACCCAGGACAGAAAAGAACAAATTTCCTTACCCACTGGAAAGGAGAGAGACCTGGCCAGGATCCCACAGCCAGGCACAGGACCTTCTCCATCCCTCAGGAAAAGCCAAGTCATACTCAGGAAAACAGAAAAATACTCAGTTAAGCTGTAATCAGTCACAGCTCCTACATAGGTTTTTGAATCAAAAAATTCGCAAGGAGCAGAGACATCTGTAGGAAAAGTAACCGGATGCGACATTCTGCAGGAGGCCAAGCTAAATGTGTCCCATGACATCACTCTGGAGAGGAGGCTGCCAGGAGCCACCCAGGGGCTTGGAGCACTCCTGCAGCTCTCAGTGCTGCGGAGGAAGACCGGGCCTGTGACTTCTGCCTGATCCTGGGCCCCTTACTCTGTGAAGAAACACTCTATTGGTTCCCTGGCCTAAGGAGAAATTGTCTGCCAAAATCCCTAGGCTAATCTGATTTGGGGAGATACATTCTTTCTGCCCAGTGTTCTGGTTTCTCCTGAGTGTCCTGATAACCTCTGGGTCTTCAGTTAGTCTGCTGCCAGTGGGAGTGTGGTGTTGGGGGAGGGATTCTGACAACTGTGTCACCTGCTGGGAGGGATCCTGTCACACAGCCTCTGACACCTCTTGGAGGAACCCTGCCAAGTTTGAGATTTCAGCAAAGTCCTTGCCAGGCTGCGCCTGAGTTCAAGCAAGAGCAGCTCTCCCAGGATCCAGAGCCTGTGAAAAGATTCTATTTTAAAGACTGAAAGTGACACATCTGCAGACTTGTGCCTTTATAGATTGCACACGGACAGACCTGGGTGCACACATGCCAGATACTCATGCTATGGATATAGGTCCCCACACCTACCTGCTAAGTTGTGGGCTTACATGCACACAGGGCAAGTGGTCTCATCTGTCCACCATCAGCTTTCTGATCTGTTCTCTAGTTTCCTACCCTTTTCTTCCTGGGTTCTTAACCGGTTCCAGGGTTCATAGGGTGCATGTGGAGAGGGCAGGGCTGCCTGAGCGCTGTCCTCGGTGCTGGAAGCTTAGTAGACTTAGCATGTTTGAGAAGCAAGACCTTTGGGAGGAGGTGATCCTGAAATCGAGGTGTAAATGTCTATGAGACCCTATCGGGATGCCTGCTCTTATTTCAAAAAAAAAAAAAAAAAAAAAACCTATGCAACTGGGCTTCCTCCTTTTAGTTTCAGGCACTGAAATGATTTCCAAACCTCAGTCAGCTGTAGGACCATTTGAGACTGAGTGGCTGTATGACCTTTCATAGTAGTTAATGAAGGGCTTGAGACCTCATGTGCTACACATTGTTGTATATGAAGACCATGAAAGTCTCTGTCCTCATGGGACACCCGTGATTCCATGTGGCTGCCTGTGACTTCATGTGGCATGCTTATAACTGGTGACCACATTTGGCAGCCCAGGACCACATGAAGCTTCTGTGACCTTGTGCAGCCCCAGATCTGACTTTGTGCATCCCCAAAAGATCTGGGCACTACTTTGCAGAACCTAGGTAGACCCTTATGGCTCCCTCATTGGATAGCAGATGTGGCACCCGCAGGCTGTCAGTTCTTCAAACTAGGTCGGATGGAGGGTGGGCGCTCAGTGGGCACTCAGCCCATCAGCTTTTGCAACCCCTTAGACAAGTGACTGCGACTTGCTCCCACCGGAGCCTGCCTAGCAATAAAACCCAGACCGCGGGGTCGCGCGGAGGTAAGGGTTGCGCGTTGGTGGGGTGGGTGACGACTGCTCGTCGCCCGTGCGCCCCACTCCAGCCCGTTTCCCCAGAACGTTGGGGGGGCGGAGGCCGAGAGGGCTGGTGCTCGCTGCGACCCCTCCCCCGCCCGGGCTCGGCGGTTCCGAGGCGGCGGCGCGGGAGGAGCCCCGACCCGGCCAGGCTGCGGGCGGGGAGTGGGGCTCTGGTGCGGAGCGAGCGCGCGCCGCGCCCTCCCCCTCCCGCCCAGTCTCCGCAGCGGCGCAGGGAGGCTGGGAGCTGCGGAGCCGGGAGGCGGGGGCTAAAAATACCCAGCGGCGGCGCGGCAGCGCTGCTACAGTGGGGCTGCGGGGCTGCGGGCCCTGGAGGCCGTGCCGGGCCAGGCTGGGCCCGGCTGACCGACATGCTGACCTTCTTCCTGGTGTCGGGGGGTTCCCTTTGGCTGTTAGTGGGTAAGTCCCTGCGTAGTCCTTGTTGGTCCCGGACCTCCATCTCCCGTAAGCTGTGCTGTCTTGGCCCAAGGTGCGGGTGTTACACTCCCGCGGTTGTGGAGTCCCCGGCCCGGGCTGCTGGCTGTCCCTTCAAGGTCTCTAGGTCGCCCCCAATTCCGGCGGGCTCTGGGCGGGGTTTGGGAAGCAGCTGGGTCTGCGGAGATGGGGGGGGGCCTTGCTCATTGCGACTCCACAACAACCTCCATTGGCTTCTAGCGCCCCTCTCCTCTTATTGTGAGGACCTGCTGATCAGATTAGGCCCTGAGTCAAAGTGGGGACAGACTTATTGCGTCCTTGTTCATTTATTGGGACCAGAAACCAAGGATGTTGGTTCTTAGGTCCCGCAGTAGGTGGTCAGTGTGTAGCCAGGACTGATCAGGGTTCTGAATCCCTGCCAGGGACCTCCTTACAATCACTCCCTGCTTGCCCTCCTGCCAGAGTAGAAGATTGCTATAAAACTGAGTTCATCTGCCCCGGCTCTGCCTGGGGCTATGTCCTCACTGCTTCCACTCCCTTCTCTTTGCGAATTCCTTATCCCTGCACCCTCTTAGCAGTCTATGAGTATCTCTGGCTTCCTTCAACCCCCATACACCCACACCTGGGTACTGGCCTTTCTCTGACTGAGCCTTTGGGTTCTCCTGAGTATAATACCCTCACCTACAGTCCCACCCCCATGTGCAGATTCTGCTCAATTACTTATGTGAAGTGCTTACCCTTAAACTGGCCTTCAACCTGACCTAGCCTGGAGCAAATGTCCTATGAATGTCAGTGTTTATTATTATTTTACATTTAAACATCATCATTATCAGAGATGGTTGTGAAGTTTTTACTGAGACAAAAAAGGGGAAGAAGTTGACCCATTAGAGATCCTTATAGATGATTTTGCATGTTATTTAATATTCACAGAAAATCCTAGGAGGTTGGTCTTAACTCTTTTTGATTCAGAGGTTAATCAACTTGCCCAATGTCACATGAATATCTAGTAGACTGGGATTTGATCTGAGGTTTGAACTCATCAACCAGTGCCAGGTGTTTGATTGTAACTGGCCTGAACCTGAAGGGTTGATGGGCCAGGTAATCACTTCCCCCTCCCCCACTGCTGTCCTAAGTTAGGCCACAGGGATACTCCCCCTGTGTTGGGGGAGTAATACCTCCCTAATCTCTTCAGCTCCCTAAGCTCCTTCTGTCTGCCAGTGTCTGATGACAGGCTGTGCACGGCCTCTCTGGTCTTGATACACACCCAACAGGCAAGGACAGTGCTAACACTAGGGTCAGGCATAATCAAAATCATGATAGTGGTGGTAGTGGTGATGATGATGATGATGATGTTGATGATGATAGTAATAGTCACCATTTATTGTCTGAGTGATGGATGGTCTCAGAGCTTCTCCTTAGCCCTACCCACAGGAGGCCCCATCCAGCCATGGGTTCAAAAGAAGCTCTCTGAAAATCTGGTATTCTGTGGATTCAGGGAGGTGTCTAGGGGCTGCAAGACCACTTGGTGACAAGGGTCATCAACAGCTTGTGAGAAAAACCCCCTCAGTGTATGGGGTTCTTGTCTATAAGCCAAGATCAGTCGTCAACAACTTAAACTAGCCTTCTGTCCTGCTTCCTTGTGGAACATTTCCCAAAGTGGCCAGACATCTCCTTGGATAGAAAATGAGGGGACTGGCTTTCTATGGGACTATCCAGGGACCTAAAAGTGGACCTAAAAGTGGGGGCAGATAATAGCTGCTTCAATAGAGACCAAACATTTCAAGGCAGAGTAGGAGGTTGGTGCTGGTGCATGGTTCTCATTGGATGGAATACCTCACATACATAGTGGGGCTTTCCTAGGTCATGTGTCCACATTCCTTGGAACTTTACCTGGACCCCAGCCTTTCTCAGGGGGTAAGAACTGTAGATTAGTGAACACACCTGAGAATGCACTGTGCCTTGTAACATATGCCTTGTAATCCAGGGTCCTGTGGCAACTACAAGATACTTCTTCCACTCAGCCAGCAATAGGCAGGGATCCCCAAGCCAATGTCACTCTTTAATACAGAGTTTTGTGCTTTTTTGCTTCCCAATCTGGAAAGGATGGAATCACGGTTGGGCAGACAGCAGGGTCTTCAAGGAGAGAATGGTGTAAAGGAGGAGAGGGGAGTCACCTGAAAGAAGGGCTGTCAACCATGTGTTCTGGGCTACACTGAGTCCTGGGTCAGCCCGGGTTTTACCTGAGTTTTATAGTAAACAACGAGACAAATAAAAGAGGTCCAGTATAAGTCAGACACTATTCCTGTCATGAGAAAATGTGCCATAAGCACTCAGAGGACACCTGGGAGCAAATGGATTAGAATTTCTAGTTTCCTATGTGGCTCCTTTGTACAAAGTAGAAAGAGGCATCATTCTTGGTAGATAGATTTCTCAAAGGGTATCCTTAGGGTGTCCTAACCTGATATAGTTCCATACCCTTGTACAGGGTCCAATCTGCTCAATTGCATACCTGATCACTGGAATATCTGAGTAGGCTTCTGGGGCATAATGGAGTGTTTTTCAGAGGCTAGTAGAGAAAGTCAAACCAGCAAATGTGTGCAGAGAAAACCAAGGTAGTGTATCACTGTGTGTGTGTGTGTGTGTGTGTGTGTGTGTGTGTGTGTGTGTGTGTTTGTATGTCTCCAGCATCTTGTGCCAGGGCAACCTGATTTGTAGAAGGAGGTCATGGAGGAATGGGTTTTATTTGGGGTGAGAGATGAGTAGAGGAACCCTCTATTTAGCCACAAGTTGAGCCATGGGGAGGAGAGTAGAGGCCAGAAATGTGATGGGAGCCTGTTATAATATTATGGGTAAAAGTAGATATGGCCTAAGAATGGTGTGAGTTGAGGCTAGACTCCAGAAAGGGGAAGGAATGAGGCCCCAGCCCTGGTCCTTACTCTAGGGGAAGTGGAACTGGCCCTGGTGGGAAGAGGCAGAACTGCCAATTCAAAGACTGGAAAGGCAGGCATCTGGCTTCAGTTGCCAGGGCAGGTGCAGAATTGCATACCCTGCTCAGCTCAACCCCATCAGATTCTACCCCTCCCCCGAGGCTTCCACTAGCAGGGAAAACTAGAATGAGGTCTAGAGCCACTCAAGGAGGCCCAAGAAGGCAGCCAAAAATTGAGACAGATGGTGCTGGAACTCCAGACAGAACAGACAGCTGTCTGGTCAGCTAGGGATATGCCTCACAAAAGAAGAAAGCCTGCATTGGCACAGGGTCTGTCACCCTGTGGGAGAGTCTGACCTCAGAAACATTTCCTCTCTACAGCCTGGTGGTGGTGGGATGCTCCTGCAAGAGCACACTGACACCAGGGGGCGGCAGAACCAGCCATTCTGCTCTTTAGCTGTTTCTTTCTCTTGTGAGTATAAGGGCTTTTAGGATGACCTTCAGAAGGCTGAATTTGGCTCAGCTACAGCACCAGATAGAACCAGGGGTGTCCCATGCATATGGTGAGGTGAGTGAGGATGAGGTTCTGACATGTTTGCAAAAAGAAGTGAAAATTAGGCTTTTGAATAACAGAAGCTATACTGTATATCTGGCCAACACTGACACATGTAGTCACTCAGATGTTCATTGAATGAAGTTCTGGGTGTGTATATGTGGGGTGGGGAGTATTGCTGAAAACTTAGCTACTTTTGGAGGGGGATTCTGGGGATCAAACACAAGAGCACTCAACCATTAAGCCACATCCCAGCCCCTTTTTTTGTATTTTATTTAGAGATAAGATCTCACAGAGTTGTTTAGGGCCTCACTAAGTTGCTGAAGCTGACTTTGAACTCTCAATCCTCCTATCTCTGGGATTACAGGTGTGTGTCATTGTCCTGGCTGATTTAGCTACTCTTACTGAGCAGCTACTATATTGTTAATAACCATATTGTATGATTCTTTAAGATATCCTTCAGTCTTCCTACAGCCCTGTGGCATTGTTAGCCTTGAAGCACTGAGACCCAGGGAGATTTAATGGGGAAACAACCTGCAAGAGCTGAGTCATACCCACATCCTTAGACTTCCAGTCCATGGACGTTCCAGGATTTCAGTATGCAAAAAAGGAAGTAGGGAAAGAAAAGGCATAGCAGGCAGAGGGATGGGTATGAGAAAAGATTGTCAACAGGAATGAATGAAGTTGAGGGACAAATTCTGCTTGCCAGTGAGGTTGCCAGGCTGGGCTCCATAGGCCAGAATGCCACGCCACACCATGTTGACATTATTCTCTATGGTAGCCATCAGGAGATATGGCTGGAACTGGGAATATGGATGGCCAGAATGATACCATCCCTGTGCTAGACAAGCCATATGCATCTCTTAGTGACACATGTTCCACTGAACAGCAGTGCTTGACCTTTTCCATAAGTCCTATGATCTCCTTGAGGGCAGAGCCAGGATGTCTTATCTCTATGTCCCCAGCCCAGGGTAGACATGCAGTGTACACCAGAGTTTATTGTGTAAATGAATAAAAATAAAGAATTCCCTGGGAATAATTTATTTTAATGATGATATATTTATAAGTAAAGATGTATTTATTTTACAAGCTGTTTTCTCTCCACAATAAGTCAATCAGCAGACAACAGATTTTTAGTGTGCATCTATTAAAATGCCAAGCTCTATGCTAAGCTGGGGGAAGATGTCAATATGGTGAAAGCAACAGGGAAAAGCAGGTGTGAATTCCTTGTTGGCAAGTCTAGGTCAGCCTTCACTGGATAACCTTGAATGCTGAGAATGAGTGCAGCCTGGAACAGATGCAGTGGCAGGATCTCCGAAAGGGCTTGATGAATGAAAGAATGAATGAACGAATCAACTCACAGCTTCAGGAGGAACTCGTTATGGGGAAGGTAGTCTTCTTTGAGAACTGATGTTTCCTTAGAGCTCCAAGGTTCTAGCCTCCTGGCAAACTTGGAGTTCTGGCCACTCTGTCAAGCATAGCCAAAAGGAATGTCCAGCCAAGGTCCTCACCTCATGGATGGCCTGGTATGGTAGCCCCATTCTTTGTGTTGGTCTCACAGGAGTTCCCACCAACCAGTCTTTGGGCCCAGAATTGGTGGGGGAGGGGAACGCTGTGGGTGACATGCTGCTTTAGGCCCAGGGGTATGCCCCATCATTCACTCACCTGTTCAATGACCTCCCTGGAAGTGTGCTTAGGTTCTTTGTGTAACCCCTGATTCATGTGAAGCTTGCAGTCTTTGATAGACAGAAGTGGGAAAGTGGGAAGTAGGGTGGGAAAGTCTGAGCCAATTTGAGCTATTTGGAGACTCAATCAGTCGTCTCAAGAGTCTGAAAGATTTAATATTCCAAGTAGTCCTACCTGACTATTCACCTAGTTTTCCCAGAGACACCCTTCCTTTCCCCACACTTAGTCCAGGCATTCAGCTAGAGTTTGTTGCGGTGTCCAAGGAGAATTAGGGGTAGCTACTTCTGGCTTGCCATCTGCCCATTCAGGCCTATATTCCAAGATAGTTGCCTTCTGGGGCTTTCGAGCAGAAAATTAGGACATTTTGCAGACCTTGGGACAAACAAATCTGGATTGGCACCTGTTGGGACCAGGGACAGATCTCTAGGACTAGCATAGGAGGAATGAGAGAGAGAGCACAGGCAAGTCCAGGTTGAATGGGCACCTATGAGACAGTCCCCATTAAACAGTTCCTAGGACCCTGCCACACTCCCAGAACTGTGTGGCCCAAGTATATAGAAAGTGGACCCTGGGGGCTGGGGTTGTGGCTCAGCGATAGAGCGCTCACCTAGCATATGTGAGGTCTTGGGTTCGATCCTTAGCACCACATAAAAATAAATAAACAAAATAAATGTATAAAAAAAGAGAAAGAAATTGGACCCTGAAGGACTAAGTAGGACTTGCCCTGCTACCAAGCCCCATTTTCCCCTGCAGTGTGTGAACTGTTTTTGAGCCTTAAGCTCTTCTGTGGAGCTCTATCTGCCCACCCATCCCAGCCCTAGCTATAGACCACTCTGGACCCTGATCAGAGATCCTACCAAATAGGTAGAAAAGCCAATTGATAGTGAGGTCAACCAGAGATTGAACAGAAAGGTCAGAAGAGGCCACACAGCAAGGACCGTTAGAGCTGAGACAGAGGAGCAAGGTAGGATGTGGCCAGCCAGTGAGAGTGGACAAGGAGGTTGGCTGGAGGCTGGACAGTGATGTTCCCAGGTCTATGAGAGGGGACAGTTATCAGAATGGAGAAGGGGGACACAGCTGAGACCCTTTCGAAAGAGTCAGCACTTCTGGCCTTTTTGTTCTGCTTCTAGTACTAAGGTTACCTAAAGTCACTTAGGACCCAGGATCCTGCTTAGTGGTCAGAGACCTTGTTGAGTGTTGAGTGACTTTACCTTCCAGACCTGGATATGGTTCTCTGGAGGACACCCTTAACTTGCCATGCTCAGCCCCACTCTGCCTCTGGGCACCTCCTCCCAAATTTTGAATCTGTCTAGGGGAAGGCAGGCCTTCCCTTAGCCTGTGGGCTGGTGGGGGATTTGGGTACATGTGACCCTGATCTCCTTGCCACAGGCCAGATAGAAGTGTAGGTGGTTACCTGTGAAGCCCACTTAAAAAAAAAAAATCTGTTCTGAAGTGTCCTCTCTCTGTCCCCCTGCTGCCTCTTAATTTTCCTCCCTGGATGGCTCCCTGAACTCTTACAGACATGTCTGCACCGTAGCTTCACATGCACGCTATGTGTTCCCAACTAAAAGCAGAAAGACCCAAGGAGGGAGGCGACAGTGGACCGTCAACCTTTCAGAGCTGGGCCTTTTATTTGGGCGGAGGAGCTGACAAGTCCTATCTCCCTTGAGTCGTGGGACATCTATTCAAGTACCCACTAGCCTTCCTGTTGGTTCTGAATTCTTTCCTAAGTGGTTTTGTCCTAGATGTGCTCTCAGGCTAAATGATCTTGCTGTGTCATTGTCTCCCCTTAGTCCAAGTCGCATCTGTGCTCCTGGGGTACAAGATTTATGCAGCAATTAATGGACAGCTCCTGGTGACCCTAGAGTGGCAGAAAAACAGCATTTCTAGCAGCTAAAAGTCTGAAAAAGATTGGAGACTGACCTTGCTGTGGTGCTTCTATTGAAGAAGGTATCTGGGCCCTGGATTGTCTTGGAAGCTTGTGATCCCACACACTGGGCTCTGGGTTACCATAAACTCCTCCCACAGCTTGAGGGCATGGTGTCAGCAGTGCTGTGGGTGCCTGGCAGGGTATACATGAGGTCTCCATTCTTAAAAGTCCTCTATACACTCCAAGGTGTTCTTGTTTAGCAGCACCTTTTTTTTTTTTCCCCATTTCTTTCTCTGTGTTTACCATGAGCTCCACAAGAATCACTGAAATGTCCTTCTCCAAAAAAGGCTGCTACCTCAGTCTCAGCCATTCATATTTTTGGAAAGGATAATGCCCACAGAGAGCCTCAGAAGAGGTGACCCTATTTCTTGGTCCCACCCACCCTGACCTTACATGGTGTTCTTCTCTATGGCCCTAGAGCTCCTCCAGCTCCCTCTGGAAACATGGTGGGTTTCTTTTCAGTGGGTGAAAAGTGAGAATTCAAGTGATGGGTGCTCTCCTTGGGTCAGCGTGAACAATGTCCAATGGCCTTCCTGGGCCAGCTGGGGCCTCATTTTGCTTTGGTCTGAAAGAGATTTTTGTTTTCTGGTGAGAACAGCCCTAGCCTGGCTGGGCACCGGAGCCAGCAGCAGGAGTACAAACCCTTTCATGTGACAGGCCGAGTGGAGTGCTGCAGGCCTGCCAGCCACAAGCCCTCCCCTGCCCTCCTCGCTCCTCGGGAGGCGGCCATTTGCATATCCCCCATTCATCCTGGCCTTGAAAAGGAGGCCTGAGTTCCCAGTACTCCCTGCCCAGCTAAGGGCTGGGCTGCTGGAGCCTGGTGTTAACCCTGTGGTTGCTCTCATAGGGGTACCATAGGACTTGGTGGTTGCTGGCAGGAGGACCATTTGAGACTGCAACTGCCCTCTTGAGCCCTGAGCCACAGAGGGGTGACTCAGGTGGGTGCAGGTTTGCTAAACTGAAGAGAAATTCAAATTTATTCCTTCCTGAGGCAATTGAGAAGAATTTTGCCAGTGTATGGGACAGCCAAGAAAATTAAGCTATTTATCAAATTTGCCAGAAAATTAAGCTATGTATCATATTTTTCCAGGAAATGTACCCTCAACCAAAGGCAAAACTGTTTTGCTCATTGTCAATGCACACAGAGGGACAATACACCTGGAATGGTGGGTAAAAGAGCCAGGCAGGCTCCTGGCTATAGTGGTAGTCCTTTGGCAGGGATAGAGGGACACAGCTTGCCTGGGGTGCTTTCGTATCCCCAGTTCCCAGGATGCTAGGTCAGGTGAGCTGGTGGGCATCATTAGCTTGTGGGCTGTGGCTTGGAAGGAATTAGGCATACACACAGTACCAACCACAATCTTTTGCCTTCTACAGCTAAATGCCATGCTGTGCCTCTTTCCCTCTACTGTGCTCTTGTCAGGTGCCCCAATATCTTACAGGCTCTTCCTGTGCCTTGCCAACCCACTGTGTCACTCTGTCCTCACCTGGTTCTCCTTTCCTTCCCACCCTGTCTCCACTGTTACCTTGCTCTCACTCTCTGGATGGGAGGATGTGTCTCGGATTCTGTCTCATGAATTTCCTCGTGAGCAGGTGTTCCCAGCAGACCAGAAGTGAAAAAGTAGGTGAGCAAATTCCTCTCTTGCTCCTCCCACCTCAGTAACTCAACCATATCTTGCCAGGATCCTCCTACCTCAAGGACCTTCCTCCTAATTGCAGGAAGTTACACTCTATCCCACCTGTACCCTGCCCACGTGCAGGTGAACTCTGAGAGCTCATCTCTCCTGGCAGATGTGTCCTTCACTGGAGGCCTGTGGTGCGTCCACATTTGTGCCAGTGAGGGAACTGGATCACTGCTTCGGAGGCCAGGACACCGGCAGTCCTAATATGGACACAACTGAGAAGGGAAAGGATCATGTTGCAACCACAGGATTTGGCTTCCTGTACAGTAGGGCCTGGCCAGGTGGTGTCCCCCTGCCTGTGTGGTGTCCATGGTCCCCACCAGTATCCCTGGGGTTATGCCTGCTCTCCCGGGTCTTGGAATGAAGGAAATTGGGACCTTGGCTCATCCAAGGACCATCAGTCCTGGTCATCATTCCCTGAAAATATTTCCAAAGAGCTGCTGCCATTGTTTTAGCTTCTCTTGACCCTCTGTTGTGAGAATTTTGCTATGCCTGATTCATGGTAGGGACAAGCTTTATCTCAAAGCTTGGAAAAGATACTGTGTTTCTGTTTGCTCCTCTCTTCTCAAGGTTACTCATCTTTCTGAGTTCCTGAAAGTGCTGCTTGAGCCTGGCTTTCTGTTGTTGTCATCAGGAATGTGGGTTCATGTTCCCTGGCCAGGGCTTGGGTGAGTGAGATTTTTGAGAAGTTCTGTTGTGAGGATGGGGACAAAAGGGTAATGAAGGCTGCTAAAAGGGGCGATGTTCTCTGTGAGTTTGGGAAGCTGGGACACTTTAGGCCTTTCCATGCCCAGGGGCTTACTTCCACTTTCAGAGCTATAATTGAGCTCCACAGGGAGGCTCAGATTGTAACTCAGCAACCCAGTATCATGGGCCCTTTTTTTTCTCTAGGGGGATGTGCAGTGGGTATCCCCTGACGCTTCCAGAGTCGTGGATGCCCTAGGTTCCATCTCTGCCCCAATCGTCTGTGGTTCTTTCATTGTAATTAAAACCCAAGAGGAAAGTGGAGAGAAAGCCCCTCACCCACAGGAGCTTGAATCCCTGTGCAGATGGGGTGGTTGTTGGGCTGAGTGTGATCTGTCGTATGTGCGTCTCCACAGGTCAGTGGCTACAGGGTGCATGTGAGAGGTGTTTTTTTGTTGTTGTTGTTGTTTTTTAGTACTGGAAATTGAACCCAGGGGTGCTTTACCACTGAGCTACATTCCTGGCTTTTTTTTTTTTTTTTTGAGACAAGGCCTCACTAAATTGCTGAAACTGCTCTTGAGCTTACAATCCTCCTACCTCAGACTTCCTGCTTGGGATTACAGGTGTGCACCACCACACCTGGCAAGGTCTATGCAGTTCTTGACCTGGCAATAGGAACACATGCTTCCTAGGAAAGAACTGCTGTCCCAACTTCAAGCCCGGCATCCTCCATGGTTTTCCATCAACCAGGACTTTGTTGTGACCACTAAATTTCCTGGGAAGCACTAAACGAAGATTTGACAGTGTCTGGAGGAGAAAAGTAGGATCCTGCGAAGAGGAAGGAAAAGGGCTGCGTGGGTCAAAATTTGGTCCTCAGGTATCTGTGAGTTTTAATCAGGGAGGACTGGAGATGGGGGGCCTAGTTCCTAGATGCTGAGGCAGAAGGTGTATGTATGTCTTATCCCCAAAGATGGGGTGAGCAATGGAAAGTTTTTTCAGCCTGGGATTTGGATTTCCCAGGCAGGTTGAGCAAACAGGTCTCAAGAGGGAGCTTGGAGCACTAGGCCATGTTGCAGGGAGGTGGACTGGATTTGGAGGAACAGTAGGCTGGGAAGTGTCAGTAACAGACTGGGAAGTGCCCAGAAGCACCTGGTGTCGGGGTAGGGCCTGGGGTTGGTGTTGAACTGGGCCCTGTGGCCCGCGTGTGTCTTCCTCACTAGCAGGCACAGCTGCGTGCCTTGTGTGCCCAGCCAGCTACATGTTAGCCAGGGAAGTAGGAGTGAAAAGCTGCAAAGGACAGAGTGAAAGAGCTACAGAAGTAGCCAGCCCCCTCCCCACACTCTGTGGAGACTGACCTCAAAAGAGTGAGGTTCTCCCTGGGAGGCCTGGTACCTAGGTGCCCCAGTCTGGCAAAGCTGCGGAGAACTTGGCTTTGGTTCCAGCAGGAGAGGGTGTGGGTTCTAGCTCCAGGGTGGTCATCCCTGAATGCCTCTTAGGGAGCAATAGGGAGGGGCTGATGTGCTGCCCTGGGGTCCTGTAGAGAAGATGAACTATCCTCCACCTTCTGACCCTACTCCCCAGAGCATCCCTGAGTAGATATTGTTTGTATCTGAAACTATACCCAGTTTCTTTTCTCTCCCAAGATTGGTTGTGACCTTGTGGGGGTGGAGTGGAGGTGGCCCCTAGGAGAGGCTGGAGGCAGAGTGCCGGGTGGATGACGCCACCCTCCTTCAACATCAGAGATCTGGTATCCCCACCCCCTCACTCCCCATGACTTCCTACCACCCCTGCCGCTCATGCTCAGGGTAGGTCACCAATCCATGCACAAAGCTCCTGGCACCTAATCAGTGTCTCAGATGGATGTGTAAGGAGGCTTTGTCCTTTGATAACCCCCCCACCCCGTAGACTCCCCTCCAGGACTGAAGACAAGGTGGGGTGAGTGGAGGTGCAGAGGGGTGTGGGCGGAGGCTCTGGCAAGCTGGCAGAGTGAGGGTTAAGGCTGGGTTGCTTAGCTCCAGCTGATCAGAGCCAGCACCGCCCCATGTACAGATGAAGGGGGGGCAGCGGGGGCCTTGAGGGGCCAGTAGCTCCTCACAGAGCTGCTCTGTACCCTGGTTCCTGCCAGACCTGCTCCCACAGCCACCCGGGAGCCACTGCCTCCCCGGCTAACACCTCTCTACTCCCGGCTTCTGAGAGCAGGCGGCTATTACCATCAGCTGTTCCCAGGGACAGGGCCTTCGCCACTTTCGTGCTTTGATCAAGATGTGGTAACCTCTTTCCCTGGGCCCCACAGGCCCTGTAAAGGGACGCTGGTTCTAGTGGGACCAGCTAAGCTACCTTCTCAGTGCCAGGAGCCCGCTGGAAAGGTAGGGTATGAATGCATCTGCTTTTGCAAGTTATCTTTGAGCCCCTTTGGCTGGCAAAGAAAGGGAGTAAACTGCTTCAGCTAGCTCCTGTCTACCCAGTGTTTCCTCTATTATGTACCTGGCATCCCACTTTCTCTCCATGAGATTGTTTAAGGTGAGGCCCAGAGGGGTGCAGTGATTTGCCCAAGGCTACACAGCTATCAAGAGTCTGAGCTAGGATTTGGACCAAGGTCAGTCTAGCACTGGAAACCCCTTTGGGCCCTTTCCCAAGCTTGCTTGCTGGGGGTCCTGGAGCCTAAGCCCTGGGAGAGGTTGTAATTTTCTTTTTGGAGTTTTTACTGGGAGTTGAGGATATTCTTTGATACCATAGCTTCCCCACTATTTCTGAAGTTCTTGGGGATTTGCAGAGACCCAGAATTCTATTATTTCTTTCTGATACAGAAACAAACTGGTGTGAGTCTAAGGGAAGGGAAGAATATGAGGAGCATGGAGGGCCAGTATGAGTTTGGCATTTAGACTAAGGCAATAGGGAACCAGATAAAGTTTTGGAGCAGTGGCATGACATAGATACATTGATTTATCAGGAAAATAACTTTGGCATCAGTGTAAGCACAGGCGAGAGCAAGGAGAACCATGAGAAGTCTGGTATACCATTCTGGGCTGCCCTTGGTAGTGGCTGGACCAGGCCCAGGACTGGGTAGGTGGAGAGGAGTACTCAGGCTTCAGAGATGTTTAGGAAGTGGTCCTTCCTTGCAGAGTCATCCAACTAAACTGATGGCGTAGAGTGCTGGGGGGGCGGGGACGGGGGCAGAGAGCTGTACTAGCAGAAGGTTCTTGGAGTCAAACCACTGGCCTCAGGGCCATTGCCACAGGGGTTATGTTCCAGAGCTTTGCCTCTGCCACCCTCCCACCTTGGAGCCAACATGCCACCCTCTATGGCCCCTTTCTTCCTGTTCTTTCCCATCCTGGATCACAAGAGCTATTGCTTTCACCATGTGTCCTGAGTCAGCAGAGGACATGGTAAGGTGGGAGGAAGTCCCAGTGCTCCAGACTGTGTCACTACTTGGTATTCTGAATGGGTCTATACTGGAGAAAAAGGCATAGGATGTGCTGGGGTTGGGGGCAAAAGGAGGCTAGCTCTTGCTGAGGGCGGGGTCCTCCTGCCGGTGAATATTTACAAACACAGTCTCTCACCTGGCAACACCAGCACCACTGATCCCCATGAGTGCTGTCCACACACCATCCCCCCTCACAGCTGCTGCAATCTGCAGAACCTCTTGGGGCATAGAAGGAGGCAGGCATGGCTGGAACCCCAGGGACCACCAAGCCTCAGCTCATATTGACAGAGAGAGGAGGTCAAAGGAGGCCAAGGCCCCCTGAAGTAATGAGAGGAGTCCAGACTTTCAAACCTAGTTCTTATCCTCCTACATGCCAAGGTCTTGATGGCGTGGCTTGGCTTTGAGGCCAGTGTCCTTAGAGGACCTGGACTTAACAGTTCTGCTTTTCAGTGGCTCCCAGGTCTGAATGGAATCTCAGAATAAATGCAAGCAGTTTTTACTATCTGAGAAAGCCAGTGCACCTGGAGGAATGAGACCCCCTGGTTGCTGTCCAGCCATGAAAAGGTGCAGGCCCAGCCTCAGGGACAGAGGAGTTACAGCCACTGCAGATGCCTCCTAAAGGGTGGACACCTCACCTGAGGAGGAGCAGACAGCCAAGCCTTTTGCCCACTGGACTCTGTAACCCCAGGGGGAGGACAAGAACCCAGCCAGGAGAAGATGATGAGTTTTTCATGTGAGGCCAAGAAGAAGCTTACCCATGGTGTATGCAGGGAAGACAACAGCATGTGACTGATCTGATAGGCTGATCCCCACGTCCAGGATGTCTCAGCCTTACACTTGACCTTACCTCTTAGAAACTGGACCTTGGCTCTTCTGAGCAGGCTGCAGCTGGCTTTCTGTGGGTTCAATACCAAGTTGAAGGAGAGGATGCATTGTGAAACTGGATCCAATATTGGAAGGTGTGGGGTGGCCACACAAGACAAAGAAATGATTTGGGGTTTGAGTCCTGGTTCTTTTGGCACCTACCATGTTCCTCTCTCAGTGAAGAAGGAGCCCTGTATTCTACTTCCTCACAGTGAGTACGTGAAGGATCACACAGTGCAGTGTGATGGAAAGGGCTTCTCAGGCATCAGGAATTCAGGAAGTTAAGACAAGTCCTGCATTTCACCTCTGAGAGAACTATGATACTGTAACAACCCAGAGCTCAGCAGATCTGCAAGGCCGGCCTCCCAGACTTCAGTGCTGACCTTTGTACAAGTTTCCACAGGCTCAAAACTTTTATTATCTTGAACAGAAGATTCAGTTTCCTAAGCACTCTGTGTGCTCTTTCAGCTCCAGCTTTTGTGTAGTCGATGCCCTCTGCCTGGGACACTTTCCTCTTCATCCTTTGGTCTCAGCATCAGCATCACTTCCTGTCAGAAGCGTGCTCAGACTCGCCATGCTAGAGTCAGGCACCTTCTCTCACTCACTCTGTATGATCACAGCTTGGACTACATTTCCTGACTCTGCCCACTCCCTCATGTCTTCTTGCAATGGGACTGAGAGCAGGCCCAGCACTGATCTGTGGAGAGCAAGGGCCACGTGGGGGTCTGATGGATGTATGGAAGGATGGATGGATGGCATGTCCATTCTGCTGTATGCTGTGACAACTCCAACATTGCACCTAGTGCCACAAATACCCACTCTCTGGGGAAGTTTAGAGTCTGTGAGCAACTTCCAAGGGCCAGGGACTAGTGTTCATGAGATATCCTCCCAGGTTCTCTTTAAAACTTTTGGGTCCATATAGCTGAGGCCTCAGAGGCTGGGCAGGGACTTCTCAGGCCCATTGCCTCCACTTAGTCATCTGTCTGTCTTTCAGCTCACCCAAGAGCTACAGAGCATGTCTAGATTTTCCAAAGTAATGAGTCATTTATCTCACAGGCCTGGCTGTGACTTGATCTTCTCATCTGCTGTACAGGGAAGTCAATGTCCCAAGAATGCCAGCTAGGACAGAGCCCCCATAGAGGTTTTCCTTGTGAACCATTGTAATGCACAGCTAGGCCTCTGTTTTGATGATGCAGAACCTTAATTTGATTGCTCTGCCAGGAGTAGGTCCTTCCTGTGGGGTGCAGTCATAACTGACTCAGCTTAAAAAAGCTGCTGACAAAATCACACTTCAGGCTCAGGTGAGCTCAGGGAGAATGCTCTGCCTGGCTGGGGGTTCACTTTCATTGGGTGCTTGGAGCACCCAAGCCTGTGGGAGGTTGGTGAGTGTTCCCAGAACTCAGCCTGTTGTACACCTCTAGATCATCAGTTCCTTCTATGGGGCTGCAGGACCTGGACCCAATGGCCTCTGCCAGCCATTTGGACCAGCATGGGCCAGCCCTGCCTCTGAACCCTTTTCTGTTTCCTAGGCTGAGCAGCAGCTTGTCAGACAAGCATATCCTTTAGCCATTTCTTTGGTCCTCTGACTCTACTAAATGCAGTACAAGGAGCTTTACATGCCTAATACTATCCCATTTTAAAGACTGAGGAGTGGGGGTTCAAAGAGGTGGAATATGCTCAACTATCAATAGCTTATAAGTAAATGAGAATGGACTTTATCCAAGGAGCTTCTCTCTCTCTCTCTCTCTCTCTCTCTCTCTCTCTCTCTCT